TACTACTACTACTACTACTACTACTACTACTACTACTACTACTACTACTACTACTACTACTACTACTACTACTACTACTACTACTACTACTACTACTACTACTACTACTACTACTACTACTACTACTACTACTACTACTACTACTACTACTACTACTACTACTACTACTAACACCACCACCACCTCAACCACCTCCACCACCACCACCACCACGACTACTACTACTGCTACTACTACTACTACTACTACTACTACTACTACTACTACTACTACTTTTGGTGGTGCGTGGTGGTACGTGGTGGTGGTGCGTGGTGGTGCGTGGTGGTACGTGGCGGTCATACGTGGTGGTACGTGGGGGCACGTGGTGGTCATGCGTGGTGGTACGTGGTGGCACGTGGTGGTCATACGTGGTGGTGCGTGGTGGTGGTGCGTGGTGTCACGTGGTGCTGGTACGCGGTGGTACGTGGTGGTCATACGTGGCGGTGGTGGTGGTACGTGGTGGTGCGTGGTGGTACGTGGTGGTCATACGTGGTGGTACGTGGTGGCACGTGGTGGTCATGCGTGGTGGTGCGTGGTGGTGCGTGGTGGTCATACGTGGTTGTACGTGGTTGTACGTGGTGGTCATGCGTGGTGGTGCGTGGTCGTGCGTGGTGGTCATACGTGGTTGTACGTGGTGGTGCGTGGTGGTGCTTGGTGGTACGTGGTGGGGGTGCGTGGTGGTGGTGCGTGGTGGTGGTACGTGGTGGTCATACGTGGGGCCATACGTGGTGGTACGTGCTGGTCATGCGTGGTGGTACGTGTTTGTCATACGTGGTGGTACGAGGTGGTACGTGGTGGTCATGCGTGGTGGCACGTGGTGGTGGTATGTGGTGGTCATGCGTGGTGGTACGTGGTGGTCATACGTGGTGGTACGTGGTGGTCATACGTGGTGGCACGTGGTGGTGGCACGTGGTGGCCATACGTTTCGGTGCGTGGTGGTGCTTGGTGGTGCGTGGTGGTGGTACGTGGTGGTGCGTGGTGGTGCGTGGTTGTCATGGTTGGTGGTACTTGGTGGTACGTGGTGGTCATGCGTGGTGGTGCATGGTGGTACGTGGTTGTCTTGCGTGGTGGTGCGTGGTGGTCATGCGTGGTGGTCATGCGTGGTGGTACGTGGTGGCACGTGGAGGTGGTAGGTGGTGGTGCGTGGTGGTCATGCGTGGTGGTACGTGGTGGTGCGTGGTGGTGCGTGGTGGTGGTGCATGGTGGTGCGTGGTGGTCATACGTGGTGGTACGTGGTGGTGCGTGGTGGTCACACCAGGTGGTACGTGGTGGTCATGCGTGGTGGTCATGCGTGGTGGTGGTGCGTGGTGGTGCGTGGTCGCCATATGGGGTGATACGTGGTGGTGCGTAGCGGTGTGTGGTGGTGGTGCGTGGTGGAGCGTGGTGGTCATGCGTGGTGGCACGTGGTGGTCATGCGTGGTGGTGCGTGGTGGTGCGTGGTGGTCGTGGGTGGTGGTGCGTGGTGGTGCGTGGTGGGGTGCGTGGTGGCGCGTGGGGGCACGTGGTGGTTGTACGTGGTGGTGGTGCGTGGTGATGCGTGGTGGTGCGTGGTGGTGCGTGGTGGTGGTGCGTGGTGGTGCGTGGTGGCACGCGGTTGCGTACGTGGTGGTACCATGCGTGGTGGTGCGTGGTGGTCATGCGTGGTGGTGCGTAGTGGTCATGGCGGTGGTGGTGCGTGGTGGTGCGTGGTGGCACGTGGTGGTGGTACGTGGTGGTGCGTGGTGGTACGTGGTGGTGCGTGGTGGTGGTGGTGGTGCGTGGTGATGCGTGGTGGTCATACGTGGTGATGCGTGGTGGTGCGTGGTGGTCATGCGTGGTGGTGCGTGGTGGTCATGGTGGTGGTGCGTGGTGTGTCATGGTGGTGCGTGGTTGTCATGCGTGGTGGTGCGTGGTGGTACGTGGTGGCGGTGCGTGGTGGTGCGTGGTGTTCATAAGTGGTGGTGCGTGGTTGGTCATGCGTGGTGTCATGCGTGGTGGTACGTGGTGGTCATACGTGGTGGTGCGTGATGGTGCGTGGTGGCACGTGGTGGCGGTGCGTGGTGGTACGTGGTGGTCATACGTGGTGGTCAAGCGTGGTGGTACGTGGCGGTGCGTGGTGGTACGTGGTGGTGGTGCGTGGTGGTGCGTGGTGGTCATGCGTGGTGATGCGTGGTGGTGCGTGGTGGCCTTGCGTGGTGGTACGTGGTGGTGCGTGGTGGTCATGCGTGGTGGTGCGTGGTGGTGCGTGGTGGTGGTGCGTGGTGGCACGTGGTGGTGGTACGTGGTGGTGCGTGGTGGTCATCTCGCCGTTGTCGATCTCGCCCCCGCAGCCACCGTCGCTTCGCCGTCCCCCCAACCGCCGTCGTCCCACCGTGGTCTGACCCCCATCCACCGCTGTCTCGCCCCCCAGCCACCGTCTTCTCGCCGTCTTCTCACCCCCCAGCCATTGTCGTCTCACCCCCCCGCCGCCGTCGTCTCGCCGTCGTCTCACCCATCAGCCGCCCTCGCCTCATCGTCGTCTCAACCGCCAGCCACCGTCCGTCTCACCTGCGTGTCACCCCCCAGCCGCCGTCGTCTCACCCCCCAGCCACCGTCGTCTCGCCGTCGTCTCACCCCCCCGGTCACCCGCCCTCCCCCCCCAGCCGCCGTCGTCTTACCGTCGTCTCACCCTCCGAAAGCGCACAGGAAAGCATGCGGTTTCCCCAGATCTTTCGGGATTGATTTTCAGGCCCAATGGGTTTTCTCTGCAGCCAACTCTCCGAAAGCGAATTCCGACAACAAAAAAGCAGGAGATTCCCCCAGATCATCCCGGCTCGTTTTTCCAGGCCCGATGAGATTTCGTTGCCGCCGATTCTCCAAAAGCGAATTTCGAGCATATGAACGCGTGAAATTCCCCCAAATCCGTCGGGCTTATTTTTTCAGGCCCGATGGATTTTCGCTGCCGCCGATTCCCCGAAAGTGAAATCCGAGCACAGGAATGCATGAGAACTCAAAGATCCTTCGGGCTTGATTTCCAGGCCCGATGGGTTTTCGCTGCTGCCGACCCTCCGAGAGCGAATTCTGAGTACAGGAAAGCATGAGATTCCCCCAAATCCTTCGTCGTCCCACGCAGCCACCGTCGTCTCACCGTCGTCTCACCCCCAGCCAAGGTCGTCCCCCCCCCCCCAGCCACCGTCGCGTCACCGTCGTCTCACCCCGCCATTGTGACGTCACGAAGCGTGTTACCCACCTAAAGACCCGGCCAAAAAAGCTCGCAGGCAGATAAAGCACAACCCCCCAGAGACATCCGACCTTGTGGCCTATGGTCAAGGCCTAAGGTCAGTCATCGCGGGGCGCGCAGGGAAACGGGGGGTATCTCTGTCTCTCTCTCTGTCTTTCTCTTGTTCTTCTCTTGAAGGAAGCCGCAAAAAGTGTAGGTCATCCCGGCCTTGTAAGACCGCGCCCGCCAACTTGAACTGCTAGGTTTGGGGTCTGGCCTGAGCGCGCAGCTCACTTGCCAACTTTCGAACCGTTATCTCAGGATGACGGTGCATAGATTCGCGCTGAGCATATTATAGCGCCTTGCCTATCATCCAAAATACGTTGTTGCTCTCCCCCTGTCGCATCATCCAGCTAAATTTGGTCGATCGATGGGGGGGGGGGCACATAGCGTTACGACTGGGTGGGAAGGGTGCCTTGTGTTCAGCACGCAATGTGCAGCAGTTACCATACCAGACTTGGCAGCATCAATAGATCGTATGACTGCGAATTTGGCATAAGTGCCAACTTGTCTTCTCGCGAACAAGCTCCTGCCAGATTTTCAGGAGGAGGAGGAGGAGACGTGTATTCAAATCGGGCAGGTGTGCAGGCAGGCAGCACTGGGGACTCGGAAAGCGGCGCGGGAAGGACAGGCTAAAGGAGGGTTGGGGAGAATCTTGGAGAGGAAGAGGGGGCCATAGCAGCTTTACTTGAGCAGGTGGGAACCTTTGGAAACCTTCACGTGAACCTAAACCTCTCCTGTTTTTGTTACTGTTCCTCTTCCTTCCTATGCAGGAAGGGGGTCGAGGGAGCGTTCGCGCATTCTCCCTCCAGAGGTCCCCGAGAACGCTTGGGACCTGCAGGCGCCTCAGCAGGCGAGACTCGAGGCGGACACTTCCCCCCCTCCTCCTCCTCTTTCTAATCCTCTTCCTCTTCCTCCTCCTCCTCCTCCTCCTCATTATCCTCCTGCCCTCCTCCTCCTTCCAGTTTTCCCCGCCGCCATTCCGCTTCCTCATCCTCATCCTCCTCGTTCTCCTCCCCCTCCTCCTCCTTCTCCTCCTCCTCCTTTTCCTCCCACCCCCTCCTCCTCTTCTTCCTTCTCCTCCTCCTCCTCGTCCTCCTCCTCCTCGTCCTCCTCCTCCTTCTCCTTTTCCTCTTCGTCCTCTCTCCTCCTCTCATCTCTCTCATCCTCCTCCTCCTCCCCTCCTCCTCCTCCTCCTCCTCTTCCTCCTCCTCCCCCTCCTTCTCCTCCTCCTCCTCCTCCTCCTCCTCCTCCTCCTCCTCCTCCTCCTCCTCCTCTGCCGCCTCCTCATCCTCTTCTTGTTCCTCCTCCTCTTCCTCCTGCTCCTGCTCCTGGTCCGCCCCCCCCCCCCGAAGAAGGAGAGGGCAGAAGCGGGCCAAGCTGCAACAGCAGGGGGAGAGATCGCCTCGTCCAGTCCTGATCCCAGTTCCTAGGATCAAGAGGCAGCCCCCTGTTGAGGGTAGGCCTTGGGACACCTGAAGCCTCCTCCTTCTCCAGCACGTATTCCTTCGGTGATTTCGAAGGGCCAGTCTGACGTGTCCTTGTGATGCTCAATGGCTGCTGCATTTTGGCGTCGTCATGCTCCTGATGTGGCCACCCAGTGTGTCTGAAAAAGATCGCCGAACGTATGGATGAAACGCGCTGTTCGACAGTCCAATGTGACAATTAGTCGTTGTTCAAGTAAGATCGTCCAGAAATACGCAGACCGTGTGTGTATGCATCCCATCCTCAGGTAAGTTTCTTCATTCGAGTTGCCTGGGCCGCCGTGACGCCGTGGATATTCTGTCCAAGTTGTGGGCTGCAGTCAGGGTTGAGGGCAATGACGTCTGCAATGCAATTCATTAGTATGATACTACCGAATACCCCGTCTGCGAAGTGTCTTTCTAATGCAGGCCGTATGTTGCATTGGATGCATCATCCACAGCTATAGGTGCAGAGCATATGGCCATGAAATGGTGAGTTTGGCTCGCGAGGCCACGATCAGGCGGTTATTGTCTTCTTCAGATTCAGCCTCATCAGCCGCTTTGGCTTGAGATGGAAAAGAAGCGAAAGGGGCCACGGCCACTGCTGGACTTGGTTCAGCCCCCACGCCACATGAACACACATCATCCTCTCTCTGGTGGCACAGCGGCTCTCTCCCTTGTTGTCGGGCTTCCGTCAAGCTCACCCGAGCAATATCTCGATAGTTTGTGCCGTGGCATCTTCAGCTACTGCTAGCCACAAGCTGGCCGCAAAAGCTCACGGTACAACATGACACCTACACTGACCACATGTTTGCAGACGATATTCTTGAAGGTCATGGACCCAATATGTCTATGAATAAAGTCTAGGGTCCAGGGCGAAGGAGAGGAAGGACGAGCATCGAGGAAGAAGGGCAGGAAGAGGACGAGGAGGGGGAAGGGGCGGGAGAGGCACACCACACGTGGCGAGCACGCAGGTGCCGCCCCTCTTAGTCGAGCTGGACAGGCCTCGTGCGTTCCCCCCATCCCCTCCCCTCCTGCGACGCAGGCATGGCTACGAGCTGCACTTCAGTAGGCCGGCGAGGACAGCATGTCTTGGCCACCGGCTCGTTGCAGACCGTTGTCAAGATCATTGCTGAGACTGGCCACCAGGCCCCGCAGAGGGCGGTGGCAGCCGGCAGGGCAGCTCCCAGAGATCAACGCCTTCGAGCGTATTCAGTGCGAGGTCCATACCCGCTGGGGGTCAGGGCCACGGAGACCAATCAAACGTGCGACAGGCTGGAGCCCAAATGGAAGAAGGCGCTGGCCGATATCGGTAACAAACGCCTCGAATATCTTGGCCACGACAAGTTGCGAACGCTCACCAGATCCGTGTTCTCCCCCGCTGAGGACAGAGGACTCTTCTGACCGAAGGCGCTGCAGGACGCGCTCGGGCAGTGGCTCGCTGGTGCGGGGCACACAGAGGCCAAGGCACTGGGAGTCGCGCCCGTCGCCTGGGGCGGACGGCACAGCGCGGCTTCTCCTTCACACCAGTCGGCCAGGCGGCGACGCCCCGCAGCGAGGATGTGCCAGGGCGCCCCTGCTGTCAGCTGGCGGTCCTTGGGCCCAAACCTTGGCGCAGCGCCGTCGCGCGCCAGGATGCGGTGCTGCTCCAGCGCAGGACCCACGGCGTCCAACAACTTTGGGCACGCGGAGCGGCGCTTTCTACCACCGCGGCGTTTGTTTGAGACCAGAACACCACTCTATGGTTGCCATCCTTTGGAACGCCAGACGGATCACGGTGTTGTGTCGTCGCCAGCACTCCGAAGTCTCGGCACTTGTACAACTCAATACGCGCTGCATGCATCGCTTGCCGACTGCATGTCGACGCCAACGTGCTGAATTGATCGCGGCGCAGCATCCATTACAAAAACGCTCTGTCCAACGGTAAAGGCGCATTTCCACTTGCTCTCCCTGGCACGCACCCGATGCCTGCGGGGAGTCGGCCTACCATTACGCATGCGGCTGTCTCCCCCTGTCGCGTGGCTGCTATTCAAACCAAATCTCGTTCACTATGCTGCTCTTCTTGGACGTTCTTAGCGACGCATGCTCACTGACAACACGAGCGCTCTGAATCGTTACGACGTCGGTTCCATCAGCGATGTGCTGCCCAGCACTTCCAGCGCGTATCTTCGCATGCGGGACCTCAACATGAACGAACCATAAGTTAGTCCTATCACTCACCCCAAGCCATGCCAGCATGCACGCGTGCGCCATTATCAGCAGCCAGTCTTATGGAGTGGTGACGGGAGTTATTCGTCTGTTCATTCTCTACGATCGCACGACAAAGTTTATGGAGATGGTGGTCCGCATCTTCACCAGCGCCCCTGCACAAGCCTCCGACTATTGTGTGATGACGGGCTGGTCAAAATGAGTATCGGGATCCTCTCGGACGAAGCCCTGCGCGGCCAGAGTACTGCAGGTTGCAGCAGCCCGATGCAAATGGTGGGCTTGCCGCAGGGGCAGGTCAAGGAGATGGCGACGATGTCTCTTGATTCCTACAGGACAGAGCCAGGGATTCGTTGAAGAAGGGTACTACCGCTATAGTTACACACCCAGCATCCATTGAACAAGAATGAACGTGTTGCGTTGTTCGAGTTTGGAGCCGAAACGTACTATCTATCACACGATGAGCGCGTTCGTGATTCCGGCAGAGCTGCGGCCTTGTAGTTGCACGGAATGCCAGTGGTTGTGAATTCGATTATTCGAGACCCATTTCGCCCAGCTTGTCCAGCGCACCTCCTGGACTCTTTCTTGCCGAGGCCGCCTGCCTGGCATAGCACTAAGCGCACCTAGCCGGGGCATACATGAGGGCATGGCGCGTGGAGGTAGCTTATCGGATTTTGCGAGGGCGCATCGTCAACGCGAAGTTGGGCCCAGCCGAGGTAGAAGCGCGTCGAGTCGCAAAGTATTTCAACCAACAGGGTGCCGACAGTTTGCCCTTGCCACCCTGGCACGCCAGCAAGCGACACAGGTGCTGGCTGGCGTCGACGAGCATTCGTATACGACCCATGCCTACCCAGCAGTGGAGGCCGTTTCTGTCAAGTTTCTCACCCACTTCGCATGCCCGATCTTTGCGCCCCAGCGCTGGCGCAGCTGCAACACACAGGGCAGCGCAGCGGGCGGGCAGCTTCTTCGAGGAGGACAGCAGGCCTCGAAGAGAGCAGCCTCGGCGAGAGGGGAGGGTGGCTGGCGCAGGTACGGCATCGGCAGTTGTCAGCGAAGGCCCGGGTTCGCTGATCATGCGTGGCAATACAAACCGAAGATTCGGCGTCCCTGGTGCTCTGCACGGGGGCATACCATGACCTGACGAGACGATCGGCCGTGGAGCTTCGCCGTTTGCACGAGTCAGGATATGCATTATGGCCACATCAAGGCGAAAGGAGCCACTGCCGGCCTCAGCTCGAGCGAGCCTGATCCCGTCATCAAGTTTCATCGGCATTATGTCCAGATTGTCACCGACTGCATCGTTTCTTCAGCCTCGGCCTCTCCGCCACCCCCAGCGTGAGCTGTGCATCCCAGCGAGCAGCTTGCACTGAATCGGCATTTGCATCGTTGCTTGTTCTCGCCCTCCTCCTCCTCGTCTCCCGTCATCCCTCCCCTTGTTCTCCCCCGCCCCCGCCCATTTCTCCCTCCTCTTCTTCTTACTCCCCCCCTCCTTCTGCTCCCCCGTTCCCTCCCCAGTCCTCTCTCCTCGTCCCCCTCATTCTCATCGGTCATGCATCACCCCGCCCCATCTTCTCCTGATCCTCCTGCTCTGCTCCGGTCAGGTGGCCGCCTGGTCTGTCTTGGAGACGGCCATCCTGCGGCGCGTGGAGGAGTACCCGGCGTCTTTGGAGGACGCCGCCCTTCGAGGTGGGCCAGACCTCTTTGGTCGCGTCCAAACGGGTCGAAAGCAAGCCGGTGCTGCCAGAGTTCCAACGGTTTGCGGAAAGGAGTTACGCTGTGGGGCAGGCCTCGGTGTCCCAAGCTGCGAGCTCCCAAGAGCTCCAACATCGTCTCAGAAACGGCCGCACAAGGCAGAGGTACAGTCCGAAGTAGAGCCAAAGGGAACACCCTGGCCGCCACGGCCGGACGCACTTCGAAAATACGGCCAGGACGTTTGGCACAGATTTCGGGACAGTCCTGACCAAAAGGATGATGCATTGCATGTGACGGCGTCTTTCCTTCGCCCTGGACAGGCTACATGTGCATTGCGCCGCCTTTCGATGAGGCGGCCGGATCCCACGAGTTCAGTATGTCTATTATCCAGTGTCGTTGGCAGGGCGGAGGCGACCTCCCAATACGGCGGTTGCATCCCTCGCCAGCGCTCCTCCCCAGGTGCGCTCTTCCCTAGGTGTCCACCTCAGGTGGTGCGGTTTCGTGCAGACCAGTCCAGCTGTCCATGGCGCTGGGACGACATCCGCCTGGTCCCCACATGCACTTTCGCGACGCCGAGCACGTTGACGAGATCTCACTTCGCTTTGGACCCCGCCCCTGGTCGACGCGATTGAAAGATCGTTTCGGCTCCGCCTACAAGTGGTGCCCCTCCCCCCTGGCGTCTCTATCACCTGGGGGTTTGGCGAGGTCTGCCGCCGAAGCCGCGCCGACTTGCCAAGTGATGGCACTGCCTCATTCGCAGGAGTAGTTATCCCCTACCATTGGGCCCCAGGGGAACTTCATCATTCCTGCATCACCACACACGCCCCAGGCCGCCTGGCTTTCCGATTCCCGAAAACTGCGGCTCTGACCGCGAACCTCTGAGGATAGCGAGTTGTCAGCTCAACCATACGGCGCAGCTTCTGCCACTCGGAATGTCAACCAGGGTGTTGCCACACAGCGGTATGGCATCTGGCAGCGACGTGCGATTATCAAGGCAATGCCTGTCATTCGGGGAACGAAGAAACGCGTTACCAGATGAGTCGGCCAATCGAAGCCTTGTACAGCCTGGCCTCGCAGGCATGACCTCACCTGGCGAATACCACATCACATCCAGACCGTGGGCACGGAGCGCGACCACTACGATTGGCGCAGATCGTGGTGGCGTCATTCCGTATACGACATCAGTTGGAACAGTGAGAACATCCACCCTTGTAGTGAGACCATCTAGAGCTCTTCGCTGCTACCACTACACATCGAGCAGCGCTACCTTCACTCACTCGAATCACGCTCCACCTCGGGTGGCTCTACTTAAATACATGCATCTGCATAGGTTGGATATGCAGCGCACCATCTTCTCAGTAAATTTTCCATGACATATGCCACCAGCCCATCTGAGTAGTTCCGTTTGCCACCATCTATTTTAAGCGGCACGGTCAACCGCGTTGTATTATCGTGGGGTAGTTACCTTCCCCACGTCGATGACAACCCCAGATCCCACACTCACATGGGCGCTTGTTGGGGTTCGTGCCTCACGCTGGAAATATGTGATATTTGCCAGCAGCGGGCACATATGTGTGAAGCTAGTGCTGTGATTGCCTCCGTCTGGCTGAAAGCCAGCCATATGGCGTTGGTCCGCTTTGTTGCTTTTGTGACACACAGGTGGGCTCGACGACGATCTGACGATTCAAGAGACACAACAAAACGGTGGCACCTAGGTCTTGCGCCAAGGCTTTAAGATTTGATTGCACAGGTTCCATATGCGAGTACCACCCCCTCGATTTGTTCTCTTCTTGAGGGGTTGAGCCGTACGCGCTAAAGCAGTCGCTGCTCAGCTTGGTGTTGCCCGCCTAGATTTTCAGCCGCCTGCCCAGCGCTCAAGCCAATGCTGACGCATTGAGCTCTTTCGCTTAGAAGCCTGTTCGAGATTCGTCTAGCGTTTGCTTACAACACGCAGGCGAATGACAAAGTATGTTGCAATGGCAATGTCTGAAGTAGTTCGGTCTATGCCACCCTTCCCCAATCTGATTGCCTGCATGGCGAATCAATAGGGTCGATTGGGTTAGTTGAGTGATTGGTTGGACGGCTGATAACTCGATCGTTTGGTTCGTTGTCTGGATGGGTGGTTGGCAGATCAGTTGGATAGTTGGTTGGTTGAAGGTCTAGTCCGCAGACGTGCTGAATGGTTGGGGCTGGCGGATTCGGAACGCCGACCCAACGTGTGTTATTAGGCATCGTGGCCTCGGGAGCGCGGAGCCAAATCTTCTTCTTGTGCATATCATTGCCTCGGGGGCGCGGATTCATCGTTGGTTTCTGTGCGAGGGGTCGTGGCCTCGGAGGCACGGACCCACCTGTTTTTCGAGAGGGCGCGTGGAACCATTTCAAAAAGTGGAACATGGCTTCGGGAGCGCGGGCCCGATTCCCCAAACAGTGCTTGCCCTACGGGTTCTTATTTGCGCTACCCAAGCAGTTGGATGGGTCTGCTGGTGTTTCGCCTTGTGCCTGCTTGGTGGCCGCCTCGTGGCCGCCAAATGCGTTGGGTGGGTTTGCCAGGGTTTCGCCCGGTGGCCGCCGCGTGGCCGCCCCGTGCACCGGGTGGGTCTCCCTGGGTTTCATTGGTTGCCCACCCGCGGCCGCCAGTGACCGTTCGTGACCGCCTCGTGGCCGCATGACACAGTTTGTCACGCATAGCTTGAACCGCACAGGTTGCATAACATGATTCGCATTTAACGGCCTACACCACATAGCTCGCACCACATTGACGGCACCACGTAGCGTGCACCACCAATATCACATCACACCGGTTTTACAACATAAGTTGGAAGACACTGCGTGATTCAAGCATGGTGCATGACACAGTTTGCAACGCATAGGTTTTACATCGAGGGTGCAAGCGCCTATTGTTTCGGGTCCACGTTGGGCCAACGTAGTTCCAAGCCATCCTTTGGTGTTGGGTCCTCGTTTTGCAGAGACAGAGCCCCGCGTTCCCGCTCCTCCTCCCCCTCCTCCGTCCTCACATCCCTTGCCTCTGCCCTCCGCATGTCCTCATCGTCGTCATATTGGCGCATGCAGTTCCACCTCAATTTCGGCGCACCCCTCACGTTCCGTGGCCCCATAGGGTGCTCCTCTGGAGGCCCCAGTGGCAGGGTCCGTATGCAATTCCACCCCCAATCCGGCGCACCCCTCACAAATTTCGTGGCCCCAAAGGGAGCTGCACCGAAGGCCCCAGTGGCAGGGTCAGTATGCAGTTCCACTTCGATTTCGGCGGACCACTCACACGTTTCGTGGCTCCATAGGGAGTACCACCTAAAGCCCCCGTGGCAGGGTTCGCATGCAGTTCCAGCCCCCCCTCTCGGCGCACCACGCACACATGCTGTGGCACGCTGTGGCTCCATAGGGAGCTCCACCAGAGGCCCCAGTGGCAGGGTCCGCACGCAGTTCCACCCGCCATTTCAGCGCACCGCTCACACGTTTCGTGCTCCCACAGGGTGCCCCTCCGAAGGCCCCAGTCACAAGGTCCGCATGCAGTGCCACCCCCACAAGGAGAGCTCCACCCAAGACGATACTCACGACTGCGGCACTCACAACTGCATACGGAAGGGTCCTTCGCCAGGCTGATTGTTTGTATCAAAGATCGTGGCCTCGTGAGCGCGTTGTTTTTCGCCTGGAAGAGATCGTGGCCGCGTAGCCGCGAACCTGTTTTGTTTTTACGTGGGATCGTGGCCTCAGGAGCGCGGGCCCATTGCTCACGGACTCAGAATCGTGGCCTCGGAGGCGCGGCCCCATGTTTTTCCCAACCGCCTTGCGGTGTTGGGTCCTCGCTTCGAAAGAGACAGCACCCCGCGTCTCATTCCTCCTCCCCCTTTCTCTCTCCTCCCATCCTTGCCTCTGCTCTCCGCATGTCAATTTCTGCGCACTCCTCGCAAGCTTCGTTGTTCCGTTGGAAGCTCCACTTAAGGCCCCAGTGGCAGGGTTCGCATGCATCCCCCAATTCCGCGCAACCCACAGAAACTTCGTGGTTCTATAAGGAGTTCCACCGGAGGCCTCAGTGACAGGGTCCGCAGGAAGTCCCGCCCCCCATCTCGGCACACCACTCACACGTTTCATGGCCCCATAGGAAGCTCCAACTGAGGCCCCAGTGGCAGAGTCCGCATGCACTTCCACCCTCCATACCGGCACACCTCTCACACGCTTCTTGCTTGCATAGGGAGCACCACCTAAAGCCCCAGTGGTAGGGTCCGCATGCATTTCCAGCCCCCCCTCTCGGCGCACCCCTCACACGTTCTGTGGTTCCATAGGGAGCTCCACCGAAGGCCCCAGTGGCAGGGTCCACATGCAGTTCCACCCCCCCTCTCGGGGCACCGCTCACACGTTCCGTGGCTCCATATGGAGCTCCACCGAAGGCCCCACTTGCAGGGTCCGCATGCAGTTCCAACCCCATCTGTCAACACACCCCTCAATTCTTTCGCGGCCCCGTAGGGAGCTTCATCGAAGGCCACAGTGGCAGGGTCCGCATGCTGCTTCACACCCAACTTCGGCGCAACCCACAGAAACTTCGCGGTTCTATAAGGAGTGACACCGACGGCCCCAGTGGCAGGGTCCGCACGCAGTTCCGCCCCCCATCTCGGTGCAACCCACAGAAGTTCCGTGGTCCTGTAGGGAGCTCCACCTGAGGCCCCAGTGGCAGTGTCCGCATGGAGTTCCACCCCCCATTTGGGGGGAACCTTCACACGCTTCATGGCCCCATAGGGTGCTCCACCGAAAGCCCTAGTGGCACGGTCCGCATGCAGTTCCACCCCCAATCCAGCGTACCCCTCACACGGTTCGTGGCCCCATACAGAGCTCCACCGAAGGCCAAAATGGCAGGGTCCGCATGCGGTTCCACACCCCAATTCGGCGCAACCCACAGAAGCTTCGTGGTTCTATAAGGAGTGGCACTGACGGCCCCAGTGGCAGGGTCCGCACGCAGTTCCGCCCCCTT